TAACTTATACTGGTATCTATGTATCCCAACGTGTGGATGTCATGGAAATGTGTTTTTTTGTTGTTGTTTTTTTTGTTTATAATGGCACTTTTTTTCTTATTTCTACACATGAGTCAGCGTGGAGCCATTTATTCTGCTGGCAGAGTTTATCAGTTACCTGCAGAGAAACAGTTCCTGACGAAAAAATGCCTTATGGTACTATTATTATTATTATTATTTATAAAGCGCCAACAAATTGTGCTGTAGTTGCAACAAGACAAGTTAGACTACAGGAACAGAAGGTGCCCCGAAGAGACCTGCTTAAACAAGCTTACATTCTATCATGAGTCCTTAAAGGAAGAACATCCATGACAGAATAAGTCAGCCATGCATCCTTAGAGGGTTAATCAGTGGGTTCATCCTCAGACCAGTAGGCATTTACATCTATGCTTGGAACAAATCTTAATGTAGATGTGATGGGCTTGATTTTGGCAAGTGGAGAATATGAAGGAAAGCTTTCAGAAACATCCAGTACTGTCCCTCACTAGATAAATGAATAATGCATGTTATCTAGTTTTACATAGTAACATTAAAAAAAGCCTGAACATTACCTCTATCAGTTATTGTTAGACAGAAACCGATCACTGTTTTCAGTATAAACTGTAACCACATTGACCTTCTATCCAAATCTATTTGTATAATAGTACGCCAGTTTTGCAGTTGGAGCTTTCATTACTTGTACTGTGTCACAAAAAGTTATATGATACTATCTAATGATTTCTTACAAATCACCTCCCTCTCGTACAGTTCTCTCACACACTACCAAACAGCCTACACCTCACATAGAGTACTACAAGCAAACTACATACACATATTTAACATCACAGACAGCCCTCACACCTACATAACACAACAGGCAGTCAAAAAAAAAAAAAAAGAAATAGTACAGGCCACTCAAATTGCACACATTTAACATCCCAGGCGCATACCATGATCACTTTATATATATAAGAGCACAGAAAGCCACACACATATAAATGCTAAACACATGTACATAACATTACAGGCAGCCCATAAACACACACTAAACAACAAACAAACAAACAACCACTAAGATTCCAAACTTATATGCCATGCCAGAAACCGCTCCTCACAATACAGCACTGACATCCCACACAAGTACATAACATGAATAATACATACAACCCACAGACATACACAACACCGGACATAGCCCACAAATACACACATAAAACCTCACAAAAGCACATGCAGAATTCTTCAACATACGTAAATGTTAAAGCTTCTGCACTGTACTACCAAAAGTCTGCCTACCCCTAAACTATAAGATGCACTGCCTGTATGTGCTAATTTATTTGGCAAAATTAATCCCATATTGCAAGAGAGCATTCACAGGCATGGATCTGCTGCAAGGAATGCTTTTACAGATAGATGAAACATTTTGCCAAACATTACATTGATTATTCTCTCATTCAGTGTTAAACTGCTCAAAATGGTTTATCACTGAATGGGACAGTGCCAGAGTACTCCAGGCTCCAGGCACTATCACCAGTTCCACGAGATGACATGGTTAGAGTGCCTACAATGTATTTAATAATCAACAAATTATATCAGGAAGAATTACTTTACTCAGAGGGTAGTGGATGCATGGAATAGCCTTCCAGCTGAAGTGGCAGAGGATAAAACAATGAGGGAGTTTAAGCATGCGTGGGATAGGCATAAGGCTATCCTAGATATACGATAAGGCCATGGACTAATGAGAGTATTTAGAAAATTTGGCAAACTCGATGGGCCAATTGGTTCTTATCTGCCATCACATTCTATTTAATTTATTTTTTTTATTTTTCTGGGGTCCATACATTGTCATCAATAAAATTATGTTAGTTTTGGCCTGCAATTCATTACTACCTTTAATCTACAATATTCATGTACATTACTTTGTATATGTAACCATTATACATATCCCAACAGGCCAACTATATAGAGGTTGATGGGCTATCCAAATCAGGGTTGCGAATATTTGCAGAGGTAATTCCACTTTGAATTCCTCACAATTCTCACTGAAGTTACAAATCCTGCTGCTACTTTGTCTACTTCGATTTGCCCCTGAATTTGCAAGTCACACAAAATTATATTATGGGAAGTCCTTGCTAAAGTAGGCCTCAAATTACTTAGTTTGAATCAGAAATGTTTTATTCCAAACACTATTTGAAAAATAGCTCATTGTTAGGGGAACCTAGTAAAATGCGCGCAGAAAAATATGAAATATAAAATGGTTTATGTGCTTGTTTGTATATCTTGCATGATATTCTGAGTGTGCTATGGACATTCAGTCTTGGAGAACAGCTGCTTGACAGACAGACAGACAGACAGATAGATAGATAGATAGATAGATAGATAGATAGATAGATAGATAGATAGATAGATAGATAGATAGATAGATAGATAGATAGATAGATATTCTAAACTATACTGATAATTAACATCTACAAATCATGAACCAATTAAAAAATAAAAGAATTTGCGAATTTTGCAAACAAACATAAGCAGCTGTTTTGAAGTGTTTTTTAAAACCAGCCATGGACTCGGTGTGATGCTGCGTTGATTGATATTTGCCCATTTTGCACTCAGCATCAAACTGATATATATCTATGTGTGAGTTTATATATATAAAAATAAATATATATATATGAATTTATACATGCATGATACATATCTACTAACGTCTGTGTGTATCAATCTATATGTACAGACATAGACAAACAGGCATGTTTGTGAATGTGTGTCACTAATTTAAAATTCTTGCTCTCAAACAAAATATAAAAAAAAACACGTCTGAAAAAAGCTTGCACAATTGAGCATAATTATTGACGACAGGGTAATGACGGAATCTAAATTTCCATGTACACTATCAAATTCTTTCAAATGTACATATTACACATACACACATGCAAACACATACACACACAGACATACACACTTACAACTTCACACAAATATTTGTTATTTAACACTATAAGTTGTTGAAAGCATAGAAGTTCTATTTCACAGAGTTTTGTACTGATATTTTTTCATGCATTTTCTGTACATTAAATGAATCCTTTCCAAAGTACTTTGCCTTTCAGCATGAACTGTTACAATATGTTAGTGCTTCTCTTGTGTGCTGTTCCTTTTCCTGGCTACCACTGTTCTTTCTTTTTACAGTGCAAGGAAATTCCAAGTGACATAAATTGCTCTCTGCATGTAGTTAGGGAAGAGAGGTTATTTTCTGCGTAATTCCTCTGGACAGTGCTTTATAATCAAACAGAAAATGAAACACAGCAACTGCAACATTTAAAGGAAGTTGTTTCAGAGGGAATACCTGAACACAGTATGGAAAATAATAAAATGTCATAAAAACTGCAAATGTGATGAAAGCTGTACTTAGACCCTCGACAGCACAAATAGAACTCGAGTAAAAATAACGTGTGCTTTCATCAGTGTTTGTTAGTGTGTATGTGTGTAGCATATAATAAAACATTACAAGGGTTTATGATCATATCCACATATTATGGTAATCACTTATGATACTGTGCAGAGTTGACCTTCAAAATGTTTTTTTCCTGCAACAAACCTATACCTCTAACAGAGTATTTCATCATATGCTATTTCTTCCCAAAGTAAAACAAACCATCTATATTTTCTAAATTATCTGTTGCCAATATTTTTACTGTGATTTTTTTTCCCTGTAATTCGCTGGATTTAAAATAAATAAGTGGCCTGCGATTGTGTGCTGCACTATAGTAAATAAGTAGAAATACATGTTTCTTTATATCTAAAACTTATATTAAATAGAATTAAAAGTCCATAAGCAGTCTGATTGCCAAAATTATTCACACAAAAAAAATAATATTGATTATATTTTGGAAATTACAGTTTGCAGATATTTTCTTCTATTTTTCCTCAATAGGAAGGACTGACTTTAAAGTAAATAAGGGTGTGTGTGTGTGTTTGTGTGTGTGTGTGTCATCTCAAAAAGTATGTGCTACTACATACTGCACTTTAGATTTACATTTAAATTTATCTTCTCATTCTAGAAATTAAATGTAAAAACTTACAAATATAAATAGATTTTTAGCAATTTGGCATTCTGAAAAAATATTGGTAACTGGGATAGTAAATAAATATTCCAAAAGTATAATTGTAATTTACCTGAAACGCATTAGTACTTTTGCAATTTTGTGTGTTTTATACAATTGTGCTCTTCTCTTTTGTTTAGGTTTGTGAACTCTTTTATTAGAAGTAATGGAGTACCTATATACAAATACCACGTATGACCTTTCTGGAAGAATGCAAACACCACATCTAAGGAATACAGATAAAAACAAATGTCCAAAATAAAGATTGACCAATATGAATTTCATAATCATAGACGCTGCTAGAGGTGGACTTTGGGAATGAAGCCCCAGATGTTGGACTCTTTGATGCCTAATCTCTATAAATAATGTGGGGACCCGGAGAATGCAAGTGGATTTCTTCCTTTTTAATTTTACATCAGGCGACTGCTTCTCAACAATGCTTTGAGTACAATGGTCTGTCAGCCTACTTAGGGGACATGAGTGCTGTTTAACAAAACTTTGCTGCACACCCCTCTATTAGGTAGACTGCATGGTGAGATCACTTGGGAAACCTGGCTGTGCTCCATATGCATGTTTCTTACATTAAGATATCAGACACCATCATCAGCACACCATCCATGGGTAGAGATGGGGGAACATAATATAGAGAGACCTGAAAATATATCGTGACATATCCCCACCTCTCTGTAAGTGCACGGATTATCAAGTTTTTCTTTGGTTTCAAGCCCAGATGTTTCTAGAACCAAGCAACACCTTTGATTATAATGAGAAAATGTTGAATACATTAGAAAATGTATGCTTTCCAGTGATTATGTGAACTATTATGAAAGAATAGAATTGGAATGTGGTAACAAAAAATAAAATAATTAACTCAATAATACATTTGATATTAAATTTGATTTCAATACATTTATTTCTTACAAAGGAATTATTTTACAGGGTTTATAAACACAATAATAATGACTTGTCCATTATGAACAGAATCTGAACACTGATATTGTACATAACTTTAAATAGAATGTTTTAGTATCTTATTATAAAAAGTAGCTTATTTTACATAGCCCAGGAAATGTTGGCTGCGTGCTCTTTGGCTTTCATTCGAAGAACTGCAATGCTAGATGACCTTCTCTCAAATTCTGGTTTGGCCTCAAAAGAATGTCCATTTGTTGATCCTGATAATATAGATTCGGTAAAGAAATTGTTAAGAGGCATATGGCTAAACTGATTTTGGTGATTTGTAAAGCCACTATATGAAGAGTCGCTCCGGGAGGAATGGGAGTAAGGAGTCATACAAGAGGAAGGTTCTCGTGGAAGCATACACGATGTGACCACAGATCCACCAGCAGGATTTCCTGTCCACAAGTTATTCTGAATCTGTAATAGAAACATACCAAAATGTTTGAGAACAGTATCAGAGCTGTATTTCTATCCAGTAATGGACTACACATTCAGATATTTAATTACAGAAATACCACAGTCCACTAGACATACTTAATTACAAGGCTTACTGAACCCAAGTACATTCCAATAAATAAATTAAGGTCTTTTAAAAAAATCAGTAAACGTATTCGACTACATTAGGTTAAAACTGTGAGGCTAATTTCTCTATATATGTATTCAAATGTTATCATTAGTGATGTCCCGAACGGTTCGCCGAACGGTTCGCAACGGACTCATCATTGAGTAAACTTTGACCCTGTACCTCACAGTCAGCAGACACATTCCAGCCAATCAGCAGCAGACCCTCCCACCTCCTGGACAGCATCCATTTTGAAGCTGCATTCTTAGTGAGCTGTCCAGGAGGTGGGGAGGTCTTGGAGGGTGAGTCTGCTGCTGATTGGTTGGAATGTGTCTGCTGACTGTGAGGTACAGGGTCAAAGTTTACTCAATATGAGTCCGTGGCGAACCGTTCGGCGAACCGTTCGGGACATCACTAGTTATCATACATTTATTAAGCACAATATTATATAACAATATGCCGTGTTCTCCTATAATCATTGAAAATATATTGGCAACAATATATGAACACATTGAAACACCGATCTTTTAAGTCAGCTTAGAATATAAGAGCAAGTTCTAGAACAACCCCATAAAAGTAAAGTCGTCACTAATTATTATTAGTATTAATAATAATAATGTTATTTAATAAATTAATGCCTCTTTTTAGTGCATTTACTGGTTCATACTTGCTCTACGGGTACGGCCATCTTTAGACTTCTTCAGTCAGAAGCACCATTTATAAGATGCATATTTTGAATGACTGAAACCATCCCAGAGGAAATGTCTTTGTGAACACACACATTATTGATTACTTGCAATGTTTTTATTTGGATATTTTGTGATACGGACCAAAAAGTAGTTAAAGAAGGATGCCACCATCGAACAAGGGTAAGTGAAGAGATGCACAAACAAGAGAGAGAAAGAGAGAGAGATACGATGACAGGTTTGTAGCTTCTATAGAAAGAATTATTAATGTTTAAATTGTGTTGTGGTGAAATCTGTAGTTTTTAAAACAAGGTAAGTGAAGTTTTGTTATAAAATTAAATGTTGAAAAAATAGTTACAGTATATTTTTACACTATAGTTTTAAATGCATCGCTTTACAGTACGTCATGGAGCTTCAATCTGCCAATTACCTAATTTGGATAGCAATGACATGTTCATAACAAAAACAAGAAAACATTCAATGCTTTCAACATCAGCTCTTTGAAGCATAATAAAAGTTCTCTCTAGAAAAAAAGGGGGAGATGAAGCGAAGTCACTCAAAAAGTCAACCAAATGAAAACAGATGTACTGGCTAGAAAAGGTTATTTCAAGCAATCCTTTACCACTGTGGGCCAAGGTTCACCAAAAAATGTCCCCAAAGGTATTATACTATCTTACATCGCGCAGTTTATTTATTCAAGAGTCAACAAAGCTTAGGAACCTACAGTAAAATGCTTTCGAATTGAAAGCATTCAGAGCTGCTATGCGTCGAGACTGGAAAATAAAGATTTTGTTTTATTTTAATGGTACAGATACACTTAGTCCTTTTTTCTCACAGAAGAAAATGATTGAAGGAAAAATAAACGGAAATATAAGCGGAGGCCAAGAAAAACAAAATTCAAAGAAAAGAGACAGTGGAAACTGAAATCATTGCACATTCTTCCAAGATTGTTTTTTTTTTTTACATTATTGTTATATACATATATATTGCTTAATGTTTTATAATTACTACCCATGGAATATCTTATTATTATAAGGTATTTTCTTATTTAAACTGTGTCAAGATATTTCACAGAGCTGTGCAAACTGATACAATGCATCGTTTTAAATTCATAAAAAAATAGGTATTACATCAAAAATGGCAGGACTTTCAAATGGTTACTGCTGACTCTGTCTTACCGGTTCGCAAGTAAAATACCAGTTATGTCGAAACACTATAGTATATACTTTCAAATATTTATATTTCTTTTCATGTTTGGTCATAAAATATTTATAAAAGAAAATTGTCGCATGCTCAGCCATGTAGTTTCCTTATTAAAAATAAAACACATAGACGTACGGCTGTAAAAACCTTCTTTCTGTTAAAGGATTACTAGGAGTTAGTTTATCTAAGCAGCAGCCAACAGCAGAAGATCACATAATATGTTGTTTGGGGATTATAGTTAATTCTTGAATAATATTCTACTGTTTTTGGAAATAAAATTGTATGTATAACTTTTCAAAGAACACTCTCAAGGACTGTTACTATCACAATCTAACTCAATTCATGTCATTATCACAATAGGATTGCAGAACCTAAGTCAAAATTAATTGTTCTATTTGTTTACCATTATCTGTACTTCTGCACAATGTTAACGCAAAATAAGTAAGACAGGCCAACATAATATTGTCTGTAAACACAGGATTGTTAGGCAAAATATGTGTCACTGGCCTTTAGAAGTAAATTAAATGCACAAGGGGACATAGATCAGTTTAGTTTAATAGTTTTTTTTTTACTATATTGGAACTGTAAGGAAAGCGAGAATTGCAGGCATTTCGAAAAAGAGTACTGTATAATCAAAAATAGACAGCAAGTAAACATTACATTATTCAGTTCTGCCATATTTGTTTAACAAGTAAATATACAAAATAACGGATTTATTGTTATTTATTTATTAAGGAATTAGCACTGTGTTAACATACCAAAGTGTATGTAAAAAGACAACATTTTGATGTTTCATTCTGCTATGTCACTATATCTTAATCTCCAATCCTTAAGATACCATAAAAATGGATCATATAGAATTAGTTGTAATAGGTAGATAGATTAAGCTTTTGATGCAACCAATGTATTAGTATTTTTTTTCTACAATGATAGACTGCTTTGAGGTCTTAAACAAATTCCATTCAATCTGAACAGATGTTTGTGTTGGGTACTAAGTGATATTAAAACAGCTACGAGTCTAGCAATAGTTATGATGGGATAAAACTGTCTATTCTCCCTTATACATAGAGATCATTGAGACAGTCATAAATTAATATGTGGTTCGCTAAAGCTATCCAGGTTAAATAGAAGTCTTAAGGAACTTGTGAATGTTTCCCCAACTGATCAAATTATTCTACGTTAGTAAAACGGTGCATGAAGATTAATATATATGTTTCCACTCTCAGTAATCTGTGTCCTGTTGTCTGACATTTGACTCTGTCTAATGGCAAATCATGCTCAAGAATGTCAATACAAATTTTGAAATAGGCCTTACCTATTTCTATTACATATACACTATGTAGATATTAAACTCATATATATCAAGAAACATTTTTATATTAATACAGAATTAACCATGCCAGCATATTTACTACAAAGTAATTTCGATTTGTGCAGACAGAGTTTGGCTGCACAAAAATACATTTACATAATACAGGAGGGTAAACACTATATATAGATATATAATACAGAATCCAGCGCACTCACTTATTCACTAAACAATGATTTCAAATCTTAGAGATTGTAATAGTTTTATTTAAAAACACCTCACCTAGGCAAAAAATAATGGGGGTTTAGTTACATTATATGATCATATGTTGCATAGGCCTGCCAACTACGTCAAAGTACCCCATATTCGGCAGGTCCTATCCTAGTAGCAGCCTAATGCTTGCTCTTATGAGATCAATCCACTTACTTGGGAAATACTTCCTTACTGGGACTCTCTGCAAGTCAAGGCTAAATAGGGTCCTTGATATATAGATAGGTAAATAAACGGAGCACTCCTTAGGAAATTTTCCAATTGTATATTTCACAAGTAAAGACCCTTGAGGGTCGAAACATCGATTATTCTTTGAAATACACAATTGGAAAATTTCCTAAGGGGTGCTACGTTTATTTACTTATCTATTTGTTCGCTGGAAGCACCCAGGTATTTTTATGGTTTATGCTTTATTGATGGTGAGTGCCAGAGGCTGGAATATATATATATATATACACACACTTATCACTGTTACTGTGCTACTTGTTTTTTTATTATACTATTAAATGTATCTGTTGAAAAAATCAAATATTTTAAAGAAAATACTTTTGATCATGTCTAAACACTAAAACAACAAAAATGTGATTGTGATGGGTATTTGTAATAACGTCAACTGGTTTGTTTAGCAAAATCATTCTAATCAAGGTTTCTTCATAACAAATCTATACCCACCGGGCATTGACCATGTCCCCTTAAGTTACGTAGTGCAAACTGACCCAAAAAAAATGCTTTTTTCTAACAAGAACCACAAACTCAAGTCTGCAAAATATAGTGTCCCTAAATTAAATATTTGAATATTTTCAAACGTAGCACTGTAACGAAATATAAAATAAATCTATCTTTGAATGCTTACCTGGGGGTAACTGTCAGTTCTCGGTAAAACTGAAATGTCATAGGTGGCAGCAAAATGGCTCTTGGCTTGTTGTATTTGTCCATAACGTTCTCTCTTTCTCCACTTAGCTCTGCGGTTTTGGAACCAAACCTACATGAGAAAAATTGGAATATTTCATCAAGTAAAAGCCTGATAAATAAAGAGGATTAACCACTAATGCATAATTCAATCGGTCTGTACTGTTTGCCCCAAGTCTCCAGTGCAATAAGAAAACATTCCTCGAGCAGAACCGGTCGCAAGACATTTCCAAAACATTTTTCAGTTAAATGTAGTGTCTGGCACTTTCCCACGTACATCCATGATGACTTCACATGAATGGCACCTTGTCCAATAAAACTAGTTTGACTAGTTGGCTTAAGTGATAGCCACAGGCTATATTAAGGAAAATATTCCTAATTCAGTTATATATTCACTTTAGGGACTTTTTTTTTTTTTACAAAAGTAGAAACAAAAATGGAAGTAGAGAGTTGAAAAATGTTTTTATTTATATGGAATTGTTATTTTATCGCTCTCTTCTATGTACTTACATTAGTTCAACAATTTGCAAAATTATTTTATTTTTATTGTTAAAAAAAGAATATTAAAAAAAAACAAGAATTGTACTCAGCTAAATATAGACTAATCCCATGAAAATAAAAAGAAATGTAGCATCAATAAATAAATGAACGTGTTAAGACACTTTTGTGTAGAACGATGGTATACTACAGGGCAGCCTTAGGCAATCCAGATGTAATGGATCTCATCTCCCATGATGATTTGCCAGCGTTTTGACTGTAAGAGCATTATGGGCAATGTAGTCCACACTGTTTCTAGTGTCAGAGGTTGCCTACCTCTTCTCTAGGTCTTACAATTTCAAGACTTAAGCTACTAGCAAGGCTTTAAAAGTTATTTGCCACTGCAAGTCTGGGGGGTCCAAGGCACATTGAGCAGGGCAGTTTCTACTCTCCAGTGCTAATTTTTGTTTGCCAATGGCTAGTGATGGGTAGAAATTTTGAGCCCTACAGTATTGTATATCACATTACGATCATAGCATTTTTATATAATACACGTAATCGACACAGCCTTTAGCCACAAAGGTTTGCACCATGTCTAAAAAACACATTGTCTCTCTCATATCATGCTGTAGACCAAAACGGAGGAAATAAACTGTCATGGCAGCAGAATTTGATACATCAGAACCCGTAATCCTTCCCTAACCTTGCTGGCTCACTTTAAAGGATTACTAGCCAAACCACAGGCTGTCAGGAGGAGGCAACATCAGATTTGCTGTGTCTCTGTAGATATAAGCTATTTGTCAAAGACACCCACATGTGATCCCGCTCGGAACAATAGGAGTAATAAAGTAATACCAGCTTTTTCTTTGTTAAATCTGGTAATATTTTTTTAACTAAATTCAAAGCCAGAAGGAAAAAAAAAAAATGAACACATAAATTGCCCTTTTCCTTCACATTAAAATTGCACAGCCTTTACACAGCTGTTACCTGCCTTTCTTTGAATTGTTTAGTCTTACAGTCAATCTTATAACAATGTCCCTGGGTTAAAACTATTTTGGTATTTTGAAGCAAGTTTTGCTTGAGCAGCAAAGGTGGGTCTACACGGTTAAAAGGATTGAGGAAAACTATGAACATATTGATAACAAATGGAATTTTTATGAGTAAAATGTGTTTGATTTCTGTATTTTTTAGAGCTGGATAAACCCTAGTACATTTTCTAATAAAAAAGTATTTAGGCTGTAAAACTAACACAACATGATATACATTGATACATGTTTTGCGCGTTTACTAAGATGGACTAACTACTAAAAGGCAGAAAAATTGTACAGTAAATACTTATTTTAATTGTTAAAATGTATTTATAAGGTTAAATCAAATTTCAAAGTACTCAATAAATTGAATAGATGGTCGAGCAAAATGTAGGCTAAACAGACATAAATAAACCAGTGAAGTAGATACAAATAATTCAGATACCGTGGTTCTTCAGTCTTCATTCAGGGCTCAAAATAGTTCCCATGTCATTTTAAATGTTTAGAATTAGAATGAACCGGTATATAATCCAATTGTTCTCAATAGTTATTTACTGAATCAGCAAGGTTCTCCCATTGTAGGGAAGAGCCCTTTGATACAGGGCAGTCCCTGTTGAGGTGTTTGATTAAAAAAATATATATTTTAATGCTTATTATATTATACCTGAAGAATGGGTCATTGTACCAGTTTTGCAAATAAATATTAGGTCTCTTTGTCAAGTTTCTTGACAAAAAAAAAAAAAAAATGAAGAATCAGTGATTTAAACATACAAGACCAGGTTTTTTAAAAAAAAAATGAAGAATCAGTGATTTAAACATACAAGACCAGGTTTTTTTTTTTTTTTTTAAATGAGACCACCCAAGATATTTTTAGCTATAGTTTTTTTCTACTAATTGATATATTATAAATTATACATTAAATTATCACTAGAAATTAACTCACAGCATATTGATTTTAGAATGGACCTATTATGCAAAAAAACGCTTTACAATATAAAGGTGTTTTGTTTTTCTTTGTTTGCCTGTTTGTTTATAAATACCGTGTTCTTCACAGTGGACAGTGTTGGAAGCTTTCACCCTGAATGCTCTAATGAGACTTTACAGAATATTAGTAGAAATATATACATTTTATTCTAAAAGAAGGTTCTCTTGGATTTTGCAAACATTGCCTACTCTAGAGCTCTGTCCTTATGGAATCCAATACAGTTTCTGGATTTCTCTAATTTAAAAAACAAAAATCAAATAAACTTTGTACACCACTGAGCAATAACGTATTTCCCAATAAACACAATGTCTCTTTAAATGTTGTTGATGGCAATATGGGTAGCACTAATTAAGAACACTGGGTTCTCATTTCTAATAAAGATAATCAGGTGGCCTCAGCCCATACGTCATTGCACAACACCCGTCTCGAAGGGCTGGACAAAAGTCGAAGTCTAAGAATACACAGTAAATGTCAACCAGAGTCTTACTCATTTCTATGACATTCTTCTGCTCAAATATAATAAGATATTGGTAAAATTATGTTTCTGAGAATTTTGTTGAGTCCCATGTTAAATATTTCTGGCAATACACAAAGTAGAATGACGTAAAAAAAACTGACATTATTAATTAAATGTAAGCTAAAATTATATTTAAAAAAAAAGACAATTTTCAGCAGTTTGAAAACTTGCAAAAAAAAGTTTTGAAACTAGATAATTTTCTCTTTTATTTCTTTAGAATGTGTGCATTTAAAAGCAGCCGGGTATATTCACTTGTTTTTTTTGTTTTTTTAATTATGCATTATCAAATATATGACCATAAGGATTATTTACTAATGTGAGAATTCAAAGGGATTTTCAAATGTAAGTCAAAAGGAGACAAGCCGGAAGCAAAGATGACTTAGTGAATATTCACAGCTTGGCTATTTTTACCTTAAGTTTAAAATTCACGTTGAATTCTCACTTTAGTGAGTAACCCTGCAAATGTTCTGACTGCATAAAACTTTCCATTAGTCAATCAAAATAAAGGACCAATTTTTGTTGTCTAACTTCCATCCTGACTCCCATTATGTGCTTACTTTAACCCCTTAGGGACCAAACTTCTGGAATAAAAGGGAATTATGACATGTCACACATGTCATGTGTCCTTAAGGATTACAATGAACATCAAGCAAGTCTCCTAGTACAGGTATTCCCAAATGTATGTCATCTCGTCTTATTGTTCTATTTCAAGTAAAATGCATTTAAGAGTAATGAATTGCTCAACCTTTAGCATATGATGTATAAACCCAGCTCTCAACGATCATAGAAGTAAAGAGGCCTATTCACTAACCAATGGATTAGGGTGACTTTAAACCTGAATTGTAAAATGTTGGCTAAAATAGCCAATCTACAATTATTGCTGAATTCCAAAGGATTAAATAAAGATTTTTAAACAAAGGTTACTTTACTGAGAAGGTAGTGGATGCATGGAATAGCCTCCTAGTTGAAGTGGTAGAGGTTAACACAGTAAAGGAGTTTAAACATGCGTGGGATAGGCATAAGGCTATCCTAGATATAAGATAGGGCCAGGGACTAATGAAAGTATTTAGAAAATTGGGCAGACTAGATGGGCCGAATGGTTCTTATCTGCCGTCACATTCTATGTTTATATGCTTCAATGTTTCTATGACTGTGCATAATATAATTAGAGATGTGATAGCAGGTACTGACTCCTAGTATAATAAAAACATGAGGACAAATACGAAAGATAACAAGTAAACAAAACCATGTGCAGATGGACACAACTAATGTCTTAACATGTTAATATAACTAGATACAAGGTCATATAAGTCTAGTCCTTAGAGACCCTAATGTGGCATGGAAAATGTATTCATTTAACATTTACGGGGCTCTATAGAACTCCATGCAGTAAATATAGAATTCCATGTCCATAAGAGCCCTCGAGGGCCAGTTTGTAATAATAACCAGTAAGGTTTGTTTCTAGTACTTACAGGGTTACATTAGGTTAGGTAGGCCTCATTCTTCTAAATTTTCATACATTTATTAATTACCAGTGATGTATCCTTATGTTCAGTGGAATTTCTTCCATTTCTTTCATATATAAAGTATGATAATAATATTAAAGGAACACTCCAAACACCATAACCACTATAGCATGCTCGGGAGCACCAGGCACTGCTAACTACCTCCAACATTTAGTAAGAGAGACAGAACTCCTAAGCAGGCATTTTCATTAGCTCTCCTAAGCTAAGACCAGCAAAGCAGGTCTAGCTCATTGGCTGAGAGCATCAGCTGATTGTTGTCAGCCAATGAGATAAGCCATATGCCCCCAGGATTCAATTAGTACATAAGGTATCAAGATATCTTTTCTGATCTGGTGTAAGGTTGTTTGTTTTTTATATTTTTTAGATTTTGTGGTAGAGGCTAAAACACAATATTTGACATAGAAGATTTGAGAGGTAAGAGGTAACTTTTTTTTTTGGAGACATATTTTTTTCATCATGATGTAGGGCAATATATTCAGTATGCTTCTCCATGTATAATAAGTATGTATAATTCATATGCTGCAGGAAAGAAATTATATAAGTACTGCAACTCATTTAAGAGACTGTGTTGATTAATTGATACATATACCGCAGAGTGGAAGGTAGTGTTTTGTGCACCTCTCAACACTTGTAAAAGTGATATGAGTTCCAGAAACTATGTTGACCAAAACAACCCTAATTCTTTCATTCAAATTTAATTCAAAAAGTTGAAAGCACCCATTTAAGAGACTTACTGTGGGAAAATGCATTATAATATTACATATTTCAGTGCAATATGTAGAAGCAAATCCATAATGCATTGCTTCAAATATTGGCACATACAAAGTTAATAACTAAATGTATTTCAAAAGCACAGAATTGTAAAATGAAATCCAAATTCTAAAATGTAGAAATAAATATATAGCTGATCTGGAAAAAAAATCCAACAGGTCATGGTCACAGCTTGCCTATGATAGTCTAAGTCTTCAAATTCTTACTTTTCTTCAAAATACTGCAATTCAATGATTAGTGCATAAACCGCAAAGTCTTACAGAGTTATATGCTCACCTCTAAATTCTACTGGATGCAATCCAAATTGCAAATTGTGGCCAATCTCTAACTATAAAGTATTCTTTGGATTGTTTCTCATTTTCCAACATTTGTTATATTTGCGTTCGTTTTGTAATTTGAATTTAATTCTCTACAGTTTGGACTCTTTTTGAATAAACCTTTTTCATTTATAAAGCTCTCGAAGCCCCAAAACCAAAGAAAAAAGCTATCTTAGTAAACTAGGAGCTAACTTTCCCCAGTGTTTTAGGGCTATTTTTATAGGTATGATGTATTTACTTGCCATATCTATTAACCTGGAAGCATAGCTGTTTTAAGAGGTTGTAGAAAACAGCTCAATTAAGTTCAAAGTCTTAAACTGCTAACTATAATGAAAAATTCTCCCCTTAAGCTACACATAACTTAGCATGTTACCGTTCTAATTTCATGGGGGGGGGGGAGAATTCCAGCGCCAGCTATAAATGTTTTTATTTTTTTATATTATTTTATTTTATTTTATTTTTTCTCCTACAATGATAATTCCCAATGGGTCAGGCACTCGTTACAATCCTTTATCTTCAAACAGGTTGGTAAACAGATTTATTACTACCCTGAGACAATAAATACGACAATAGTGAAATATAGGCCAAAGAAATAAAAGAAAGGAAAATATCAACTTGGAAAAGTTATTCTTTATGTCTGTGGATGGAAAAAAAAAATATTTCCTGCAGTCTCCCCAGGGGATCCCTAAGAACATGTTAGGAGAATTTAGTAATGAGACCCTTTCACGGAGGGGGGGTGGGTTGACAATCTCCTTTAAATGGGTGCCAATTACCACACTGATGTGAAGCAGAAAAGAAATGAAGGAGATAAATTAAAGTCAGGTTTGCTGTTTTTGCATGCAATGGCGAGTGCTATTAATTCTAATGATATGTTGTAAGAGAATAGGGACATTTCTGCAGGTTTATTGGCATGGTGTTTGCAATATCTCTCTACGCTATATTCTGTACTGAAACCAGGCTTGCTTGTGCTGTATGCACAGCATTGCATGACATTAAATTTCCCTAGGTTTGCACAAAGACATTCTTTTCTGATGACTGAACAATTCCAGAATCTATAATATGAAAACACACTACATCATCAATCTAAAAGGAATAAAAAACACATTCCACATGTGGGATTCTCTGCTCTTAATCCAAAAAGCACTAGAAAGGTACCTTGCAGCATTAAAGGACCACTCTAGGCACCCAGACCACTTCAGCTTAATGAAGTGGTCTGAGTGCCAGGTCCAGCTAGGGTTAACCCATTTTTTCATAAACATAGCAGTTTCAGAGAAGCTGCTATGTTTATGAATGGGTTAAGCCTTCCCCTATTTCCTCTAGTGGCTGTCTCATTGACAGCTACTAGAGGCGCTTGCGTGCTTCTCACTGTGATTTTCACAGTGAGAGCACGCCAGCGTCCATAGGAAAGCATTATGAATGCTTTCCTATGTGACCGGTTGAATGCGCGCGCAGCTCTTGCCGCGCGTGCGCATTCAGCCGACGGGGCGGATTGGAGGCGGAGAGGAGTAGGAGAGCTCTCCGCCCAGCGCTGGAAAAAGGTAAGTTTTAACCCTTTTCCCCTTTCCAGAGCCGGGTGGGAGTGGGTCCCTGAGGGTGGGGGTACCCTCAGGGCACTATAGTGCCAGGAAAACGAATATGTTTTCCTGGCACTATAGTGGTCCTTTAATTTGTGTACTTTTCTGCTTAATAAAAGTATCTGCCATTATTTATAACAAAGATAGGTAGATAAATGTATACGTACATAAATGTAGCCTGAAAAAGTGGAGATTCTATATATTAGATATAGTGTTGAATCAGATTGGCGGCTGGGGATTCTAGGAGTTATAGAATCCACACAGACACCCTGCCCTCTAATGACACTATATATATATAATCCGGATTCATTTTAGAGCTACACCTATTGACTATCAGTTTTGAACTTGGATTTCATAAGAAAATCATAATTATGATTTTGTTGATTATGCATGTTTATGCTAAATTTAAATTTAATGTAACTGTACCCCAATACCGAGCCGACACAACAGCTCATGCACGCAATATGTTCTTTGATTTTCTGTATAAACTCATTTGGAATAAATGAAAAAATATAGATTATCATATGTTAGTTTTTAATTCAGACAAAACATATATACATATAGATATATAGATATATAGATAGATAGATAGATAGATAGATAGATATATATAATGATATAATTTTAAATATATATACACGATACAAATTCATATTTTTTGACAAAGAATTAGTGGGGGAAATGTCATTTGTTGATCTTACAATAAAATCAAAAGAAAAACTTCACTTGCACCTCTAGACTGTAAGCTCCTACGAGCAGGGCCCTCATCTACCTGTTGTTCCTTTATTATTGTGTAATTTTCTAATTTATTGTAAAATTTCTACCTCTTTCATAATATTGTAAAGCGCTGCTGAATTCGTTGGCGCTATATAAATACCAATAATAATAATAATTATCCCAAATCCCTGTGCACATTTAAATAACTTGAGATTTTTTTAGTATCACTCCAATGGCCATTCAAGGTAAGCTCACCTGCCACGTCAAGGCAAAAATTCTTAGATAAGTCCTACACTTGCTGTCTCTAATGAGGGGTACTTTTTAAAAACCCTACACTCTTATTAACCCTTAATAGGGAACACATGGGGTGAGCGGCAGCATTGTAGCATGGCTGTGTGATACAAAAGAAAATACAAACAGTGGTTTAGGAAAATAACTCCTCTCTGTCTCATTGGAGGTTTTACCTATTAGGTCAGGCTTCCCCAAACTCCGGCCCTCCAGATGTTGCTGAACTTCAACTCCCATGATTCTATGAATGAAATAGATAGGCTGAGAATCATGGGAGTTGTAGTTCAGCAACATCTGGAGAGCCGGAGTTTGGGAAGCCTGTATTAGGTGAAAACAGCAAGGTGAATTGTTAGTGTAGGACTCACCTAAGAGGATTTGTCTTTACTTAGCAAGTGAGCTTACACGAATGGCCATTGGAGTGATACTAAAAAAAAACTCCCGTTATTTAACTGTACACAGGGAATTGGGCTAGTACAAGTAACTTTTTGTATGTACTAGGGCTGATGTGCACTATAGTCATTGCTGCAGCTCAGGAGTTGTGGGAGTTTGAGAGCAGGACTTTTTGTTTGTTTGTAATTGTTGATATTAACTCATCTTCACTGTTGTGCATAGTGTATTTTTACTAATGTAAAGCAGTATGGAACATGTTGTAACTATTACTGTTTAGAAAAAAAAAAATTACTTAGGAGATTATATTAGATTCCTCTGGTTTCATGTGTAAAAATAGAACTTTATTTTAAGATGTATTTTGGAATAAAATGTTTTTTTCTAGAGTCACATTATGTCCTTCCTGGTCTATTTTGTGTGCCAAAGGTATGAGAGCATCTTGAGTTTAATCAATTATGTATTTCATTTATTAAACTGCATCCTAACAGACCGAGAGCTAAGTGTTAGCAGCTCCTGTGAATCTAACACACAGAACAGATTCTCCTACAGCCACAGGTGTCACGTTGGGAATCAACTCAGCTAAATTTAGCCACACTATGCAACTGCATTGGCTAGCTATCCTAAACCCACAGAAGTTCTTGCAATGCTTTTACCAGTGATCCCCAAGTGGCTGAGCATTATAGGAAATATAGTTCACAAACATCTGGTGAGAATAGCCATCCTTGCATTATATTATATATACCCAGAATTGCTTCATGTATTCTGCAGTAACCAAAGATAAGTTTCCATTTCCCATTTTATATTTTGCTTTGTGTTTTAGTTTTTGTTGTTTTTTTTTATTTTTTTACATTTTTTTACGATAATTATGCTGAAGGCAAATTATAAATGAACTCTGACCATATGTTGCACCCTGTTGTCTTTGAAAATAAAATATTAAACCCAGGAAAACATAAAGCCAGTTAAGTTCCCAAATCATGACTGTTTGGAGCTTTATTTAGAGGAGTTTTCACGTTGTGAAGGTAGCTAAGGATTTTTTAAAGAAATTTAGTTATCCTCTTATTTTAACTTCGGTCCCATATATATATGAATAAAATTCTCGTCTATTGGATATGAATAAAAATCTAGAAATTGTGTGGATAATATCTATGCTTATGTACTGAACAAAAATGGTTAAATCGTATAGACAATGAGTCCAAGCTGGATTTAATTGTAGCCAATTGCTTTGAAATCGCCATAAAGTTCGCTTCCTATTTAAAAAAAAAACCAAAAAAAACTTTATAATCAGTCACAGTCTGACTGCTGTGACTAATGCATCCAAGGTAAATAGAAACACTGAGATAAGCTGGTCACTGTATGAAATCTTGTCAAAGGTAAATATATTTAACATGATCATTTCATGAAGTCATATTTAGTGCATCGTTTGATTTATTGGATTTCTCTTATGGCATGGCTAAGTGACGTCCAATGGATTACTTTTTTGGGTGTTTTCTGTGAGGGGACAAATGTCATTTAAAATGACATTGTTGCATTTTGTTTTTATTAAGGACTGGAAATGGCAAAATATGGGTTTGAGACAAAAAGATGGTGTAAACCAGGGATGGGCAAAATAGATCCATAGCTATTGAACAAACCCAAGCTTTGTGTGGTTTGACTGCTTTAAGGCTGGCAGAGGATCATGGGAGTTTTCATTCTACAATAGTTTGGAACGCTCACCTGCACTCTGGCCTCGGTAAGTTCTGTCCTCAGGGCTAGCTGCTCTCTTACATACACATCTGGGTAATGGGTCTTCTGAAAGACTTTCTCCAGCTCTTCCAGCTGTAGGCTGGTGAAGGTTGTTCGGTGCCTTCTCTTCTTACTGCTTGATACATTGCTGTCACATTTATCTCCAAGTTCATCCAGCTCTCCTTTATCCTGAATTCCTTTTACTGGAGACACTCTCAGGCTGCAACAGGTCTCCATGGGTCTGCTGAGCTCTGTGTGAAGAGACTGGCCTTCTACTTTAGTAACTCCATAATTCACTTTAAAATAAAAATAAAAAGGAACATAATTTATACAAGAAAAAAAAAAAAATATATATATATATATATATATATAAAATACTATTATATAATATATTTCATACTAGGAACTTAACCATTTGTTTGTGTTTATACATGAAAAGTATATATAAATATTATTAACATTATATTATTATATAGTATTCTACTAGGACCTTAATTAACCCTTTGCTTGCGTTCACTAGTAGCAACTATTTTTCTGTGTTGTAAAATCACTATTGGAACGTTTAGCACAGTGATGCCGAACCGGTGATATCTGTCTGTGCTGTGATTTTAATTAAAAGGAGAAGGGGAGCACTAGGCACGTGTGACCTCGTGATCACACCTATTTGCTCACACGTTTCTCATATTGTCAGCAGCCCATACTGAAAGCGCTCTAAATGTGTTTTTAATATGTAAATCCAGTATTCCATTCACTTACTGCACAGCACACAAGCATGGGAACAGTTAAAGTACAGACATCCCTGAACTGAAAGTAGAACTTTTTTAAGATCTCCAGAAAGATAATAAACAATGACCTGCCCTCACTGCTTGGCAGATTGTGCTTGCTCTGTGGTATCTGGACATGTTGATGTCTGTGTGTTCAGTGTTTCAGGAGGTAAGGGGGGAAATAACAAGCCAGTCACGGTTTATTCCTTGGCATGTCAGGCCAATGGTTAACTGATGGAGCATGTTACATAACTTGAAAGATCTCTTGTAGCCTCAGAGAAAATAATCAGCAGGCCAGCTAGTGGAACCTTCCACTGAATCTAATGCTCACTTCTGACAAGGTCCCTATCCAAAACCCTGCAGGGAATTTATAAAAAAAAAAGTGGCAAACAGAATGGTACTTCAGGATTCTTAAAGTGGAGCAATCACCATGGCAACCAATACGGTATACTTACTGATTGCGCTGGAATATTTCAGGTTTGTATTTTCTATTTAGAACTTTGTTCCATATTTATTTAAGACACCCAATACTGAATAAAGAATTATTTATTGTTCTAAAAACCCACTCAAGCAAATTAAATGTGGACATCAATATTTAGCTCAATATATAACTGTATTTCTACCATAATATATATATATATATATATATATATATATATATATATATATATATATATATATATATATATATATATATATATATATATAAAATCTTCATCTGATCTACATACATTGTGTGGACTAATCTAATTTAGTGAAAGACTACTGATAAACCATTTAAATGTATTGTTGATGCAGATGGCAGTGTTGGTGTTTTTTATTAAACTGATGTATTAGTAATTAATAAGACTTGACAAGTGACATGTCACATAGCACCTGCAACACATTATATTATGGTGTACCTGCTCTGGGCAATTTTAATGTTATTTGACAGGGAAAAAAAACAATTATCTAAAAAATATATTGGGTTATGGGACTTCCACTTATACAGATAAAACGTAAATTATTTAAAAACATAGGAAAACAGTTTCAAGTCTATTTTATTTATTTTAGAAATGTCAATTTAAGAAGCAAATCAGGTAGAACACTTTAATGCTGTTAAATAAATTCAGAACGTTGCATCAATGTGTGATATTATATAATACGTTCCATAAACTATGAAAATATTTTTATATAATTATTACTATTGATTTATTCCATGATTTCGTGTGATAGAAGTGAGTATATGCGTGTTAACATAATAATGGTTAATATGTATTACAATAATTATTTTGGGGACCTATGTTGTATTAATTAAAATAACGTTAAAGCGCCAACACATGCCGCCGTGGTGTGCGTTGAGTACAATTAATATACAAGTAAATGGCATTATATTGTTAATAAACAGTTAATTCATGTGGAACTTATAGGTGACACAAGCTTTGTTTAAACAACGTTGCAGTGTGGAGTACACACACCTATAACTGTATCTTGATAAAGTGTACTGTTTAACACCAAACTGCATTTTACATTCTATCACCTGTGACATACTGTAATGATCATTGTGACATATTCATATATTAACCTCATTCTAAAAAGAAACCGCTTTAATTATTAAGGCGTCCAAATTCAAGTGAACTTTTTTTTTCTTAGTTAGTGACATATAAACACACTTCTCTGTACCTACAAATGCATTATGTGTGTTAAGACTTTCATATTAAAGTGTACACAATTGGTATGTAAAATTATAAAGCAAGTTTTATAAATTATAAAAGAAGTTATAAAAAATTGTAATATGTATATAATATTTATATTTTACATATCTCCTATATATATATATATATATATATATATATATATATATATATATATATATATATATATATATATATATATATATATATATATATATATATATATGTTTATATATATATATATATATATATGTTTTATATATCGCCTAAAATATTAAACTTTACCGTGGCTCCTTAGAAATACTGAAATACGTGTCAAACATTCTAATCCTTGTTGTTAAATACTAGATATTAAATATAATTGGACTTCAGTTTTGCTGACATTTTGACTTGGCATCTCTCCTGTTTCAACTCAAACATATTAATATATAAATATACTTCAGTAAGTCAGCTGGGCCTGATTCCAAAATATATCGAGATTAATCGTAATTTAAATACTGATTCATTGAACGAATTCTAGATAGAATCACTGTACGTGTCCTCCTGGACATCTTAAACCAGAAGGACATGACGCTTTTATCAGGCAAAGTGTGAGTGATTTTAAACGCATTATTCTTGAAATTAGAAAAAAATAAACTCTGGGGCAAAGTTCTAAAGTTGAAGCAATCACCATGGAAACCAATAGAATGTCCCTGTTTTTGCTCCAATTTTTCACTTTCCTGCAGAATTGTTCTTTGTACAATACAGACCCCAATGGTCTTAAAATACTTTATAAATGTTTGTTTTGTTATTATTATGTATGGAATTGCAGGAACATATGTAATTTTACCACCTATATTGTACAATTTATTTGCATGTTGTAAATAATTAAGAGCTTGCATTATTTATCAAAGTAAGATTAATGTAACAATCACCGCTATGTAGGAATCAATTGATTTATTTTTTTATTAATCTTATTTGCCTGTGGATACATTCATCTCAGTGATAGCATGTCTAATATATTTTATATGTTTTAATAAATAGTTATTTTGTCAACTTGGTTAATTCACAAAATACTGATTTGCAGTAACTGGAAAAATGTAGACAGAAAGTTCTGATTTGATAACACGCTGCATTTTAGATATAGTTCATTGTTAATTGGATGTTAAAATCAATTGGGAAATTGGGGGGGAAAAAACACTACAATTTGCCGTTGAGCTAATAAACCCCACTCAGAAGGCAGGTTTGAATGCATTCAAAGAGTTAAATGAAACATATTCAATGTTAAGGTTAGTAGAAAGCAAACACTGAGCTGTCTAAGCAGATTGACAGAATGTAACCCTTTGGCTGCCAGAGACTCACTGGATACAAAGTTTCTCTCTGTAGCAGGGATACAGTGAGATTCTTACCATTGCTGTCTTGGCAGGGAGACGATCTCTCCATTCTCACATGATCATTCCTCTGGATGGCATTGAAGGCCTGAACGCATTTGTTTGCTGGGGTTTTGCTGTAAAACGACTCATTGTCCAGAGTTTCCATAACATGCTCCAAATTGCCCCCTGCTCCCATGTAAAAGCCGCTGTTTTTGTTGGACTGGCTCTTCAGGGCAAACTTTTCGCTCAGAAAATCCATAATCATCTGAGCCTGTTTAATATCTCCTCTTCCGACAGAAGTAACTCTGGGTCTGTCCTGGGAGCTTTGAATGCAGGTCTGTCCTGGGAGCTTTGATTAAGGTCTGTCCTGGGAGCTTTGTTTGGGGTCTGTCCTGGGAGCTTTGTCTAGGGGTCTGTCCTGGGAGCTTTGTCTAGGCGTCTGTCCTGGGAGCTTTGAATGCAGGTCTGTCCTGGGAGCTTTGTTTGGGGTCGGTCCTGGGAGCTTTGATTAAGGTCTATCCTGGGAGCTTTGATTAAGGTCTGTCCTGGGAGCTATGTTTGGGTTCTGTCCTGGGAGCTTTGTTTGATGTCTGTCCTGGGAGCTTTGTCTGGGGTCTGTCCTTGGAGGGAACTTTGATTGGGGTCTATCCTGGGAGCTTTGTCCAGGGGTCTGTCCTGGGAGCTGTGATTGAGGTATATCCTGGGAGGGAGCTTTGATTGGGGTCTGTCCTGAGAGGGAGCCTTGACTGGGGTCTGTCCTGGGAGGGAGCTTTGATTGGGGTCTGTCCTGGGAGCTTTGTCTGGGGGTCTGTTCTTGCAGCTGTGGGAAGCAGAGTCCGAGAGCTGTTGGAGTGCTAAGCCTATTAATTTGGACTTGTCTATAAGGGGGACTAGAGGGTGGTTTTAAACTGTAGGACTCAGCAGGACCCCCTGAAGCAGCCTCCCATTACTAATGAATAAGGAAGCAGACAGCTCAGATAACTCCTCCCTATACCCCCCTAATCTCAATCCAAACAAGGGGATGATTCAAGGCAGATTTCCCCAAGCAAGCAGATCTTCTTTCAGGAAAAAAAAAAGAAAAAAAAAAAAGCTATTCTACAGAGAGGAAACCTTCCTTATTACCCAAGTCACTCCTATTTTCCAGATTGTCATTTAAACTCTAGAAGCATTTTAGTTAGCAGAATGGATTGCACATATCTCATATTCTTGTAAGGTCAAGGTCAACTGGACAGCAATGTCCATCTGAATTATTTGTGACAAATCTTTCTACTTTTCGTTCTTTATTTTTACTTTTCTTTTACATTTTAGCATTAGCAGTGCATCGAGTTACAAATATCTAGAACACACGTGTTCTTTACAAAAAGCAATCAGTAGTATTTATTGTCAGAGATCACAGATAATGAATAGGGCAAGTTTGACATTATTGTGTGAGATACATATATATATATATATTTAAATGATGCCTTGGATAATTACAGATATGTTTTAATTTATTTAAGAAAGCAAAGCAATAATTTGATTTTTTTATTTTTTTTTTAATCTGTGTTTCTTAAATAATTATATCAGACATCAAATCTTCTGACCTGATTGTTGCCATGTTTAAATATGTTTTTATTGCATAGCATAGAATTTCTGCATTTTAACACTGGTGACAGATCACAGGTACCATATATTCAGCATTCTAAGGAAGATCTGGAGAACTAGAATTGACAGAGGTGGTAAGAGTTTTATCGCATGGATCATTCTATATATATCAATCATTATATGTTTTGTTTTTTTCACGAATCCAATGCAGATCCTTAATAATGTAGTATTGCAGTATCGTCTAACGCTTCTTTTATCGACTTGACAGAATGTTGGTAAAATTCTACCAGTACAATAAAAACAAGATTAAAGAGATATTAAATAATCTGCTATTTAGTGAAAGACTTTACGTTCAAAGTACATTTGATGCGGTATAGATGGACGCAAATATATATATATATATTTTTCAAGGTTGTATACAGTGCATAGGTCTAAAGTATTTTATTACCATTTATTCGCGTGAATGTGAAAATAAATGTAGACTAGATAAATGTCAAGGTATGTCCGGTGTATGTAAGGGATTCTGCAGCCAGAATAGGTAGATCGATCGATAGCTAGATAGAGAGATAGCACAAAGATGTCCCGTTATGTAATTATTGGTTAATTTAATGTTTTAAATTTAGAATAAATTTGGGATATTGTGACCGAAACGTTGATGAAACAGTAAAGCTAATCGGATTCATTTGACTGAGCATTTTGAGCGCTACAGATAAAACACAAAGTATTTGTATTTAAGTACATAGTGGAAACGTTAGAATCTTGGGATCGGCAGTGAATTACTTGCACAGATAATATTAAGTGCTTTATTAGAGGATTATTGGGTCTGAGGATTTAACCCATCATTTATCATCTTTAACACTTACTAAGTAACTTAGTCTTATTACTTAGAAAGTCCAAAATACTTTGATAACCAGATTTTGCAGCTGCAGGGATCTGCATAAGGAAGTAATGAAGCTTGTTCTTGATAAATATGTTGATTTAACATTTGTGTATCAGCAGTGGGGTATTAAATAAAAACCATTTACTATGACATTACTAAAAAAAGGAATTTATTATGACATTACTCGATTAAAAACGTTACTAGAATAATGTATTCTGACATTACCCTTTACCTAATTTATTGTCTTCATGATGGGACTATTGCACTGCAGAGGATATTATGGTTAAAACGTAAGTCCCTGCTACTTAATTCTCAGCAGAATATTATATGACAATTGATAAAATAAGTTGGTATTTGAAATAAATAATAAAAGTTATTATTAATCAATACTTTATTGAACTAGTGATAATATTTCATCATACCTTTCTCACTAGGTATTCTGTATAATTCAGAGAGGGGATAAATCCTGTATTACATTGCTATTTATGGCCTGAGCCCATAGGCAGGAGCATAATAACCCCCAAACCATGCCTGCATAGTCCTGTGTGCTGCTTACTAATATATTCAGAGCTAGCCTTAAAGGGGCCATTAATACAGTCAAAATCATCTCCATAAATTAACTAATATTGCTATTTACTAAAGTGTGAATTCAATTTGAATTTCAAAGTCAATTTCAAATTTAAGGTCAGAGTAGCCGAATTGAAAGCATAGCTGCTATTTGGCCTTAAATGTGAAAATCCCAGTGAATTCTCATCTTAGTGAATATCCCTGTAAATATATTCAAGTTCGCAATGGGTTGTAGACAAGATAGGAGACAATGTACTAAGAAACAAGGTGCTAATGTAAGAGATCAGGTTCGTTAATTTTATACACAGGAAATAGAATTATTCGAACGAAACATACTACAGATTCGGATGGTTCTTAATTTTGGGTTTAGAATTAGCTTGCTATATTAGCAGAACGGCAATCATTTTCTTATTATTCCTGGCTGACTTAAAATAGAACACAGAGGCTACATAGCTGTGCAATCACCATGGAAACCAATTAAATGTGCCTGTTGTTTGTACCACTCTGAAATCATTTCTCCAGAATTCTAAATAATGACATCCCGTTGTGTTGGCTGTATGATAGCTAGTAGATCTGTTAACTCTCCAGTACTGGGTCCATTCATTGCTCCCTCACTCTGCTACTGTTGCCTTGTACGATTACTGAAAGTAATTCATCTGTCATTCTACAGCCTTATTTAGATTTTGTAGCTCCCCACTGCTAGTGTATTTGCAACCTGTTTTTCAATAGCAATTTATCTTCATTTTCTATTGACCAGAACTGAGCTGGCTAATTACATGGTGTCAGTGTGCTTTAGGAAACAAGACAGACATGTACTACTTTACTTTCACACGTTGTATCAGCCTTCTAGAACATTACAAAAGGGAGCATTTTAAGTGAATCTCAAATGTAAGACCAGAGCAGCCGAGCTGCAGCATAGCTGATTTAAATAATTTATCCGATTTGACTGCTTTGATCTTAACCCTTTGAATTATCACTTTAACGATTAACCCTATAAATGTGATCTCCGTTGTTTACATTTTCTGGAAGTGTTTTCCAATTCATAAAATAAAGGCTGTGGGATTTATTCACTAAACAGTGAGTTGTACTGAGTTTTTTTTTTTATTATTAATTCATTAATTTATTTAGTTATTTATCCACCCCCACCCCCCAAATCATCTGCTTTTGTGTAAATTTTGTGTTTTGATTTCTAATATCTTTACCTGTGATTTGAGCGTGTACCATTGTGTAGTGTACAACTTGTGTACTGCAACATAGAGACAGCGTGCTTGTTACTGTTAATCAGCGTGTGTTGCTTTAAGGACCAGGGATCTCTATTTGTGTTGGCTTACACCTTCACATAGTACAGTCTGTGTGCATACTCCTCCCAAAAACATCATAAATATTACTTGTAATGTGTTCAAAATTAGATTTCTGTTATTCTGTAAAGTTTGAAAAAAAAAGATAGAGAGAGAGAGAGAGAGAGAGAGAGAGAGAGAGCATATACATCTCACTTAAATAAGAATTTAACTGTAAAAATAAAAAAAATGTCCCATTACTGCTGGTGAATAGATGAATATAACTTTGCTGTATTTTCTGTGCAGTCCATATATATATTATATATATATTATATTATATTATATTATATTTCTGTATTGTGTTGGTTTGCTAGTTTGTTACGTCACCCGCTTAAGAAATCTCTATTTAAATGAGGGTGGAGTTGAGGGTTTATTTACTAAACAGTGCATTAAAGTGAGCTGAAAACCATATTGTTAAACGACAGGCCAAAACGGCTGTTTTGTGTAATTTGTCAAGTTTAGGATTTTTTGTGTGTTTCTTTTAACTTGAGTAGCTTACACTACTAACACGCTTATTCACTAACGTGTAAGATGAGATAATTCACTAGTAAATTGCAAATTAAGGGCTGAACAAGCTGTCAGAGCCGTAGCTAACCTGGAGAATTATTAACAATAATTCACATTTTATTGAATAAGTCTGCTTAGGATTGTTATTTAGAAGGGAATCGAGAAGAAATTACAGAATTGATCATTGGATAATTTTCCAACACGGCTATTTGTGTAATTTGGTTTACATTTTACACAACCCTAGTGAACTCTCCAGAAATTCTGTTTGGGTAAATAACCTGAGACTCACAAAGGCATAATTCGAAGGGAATTTCAGGCAAAAGTAGCCGAAACAGAACACAGCTGAGTTAGATCATTTTTCCAATTCGCATATTTTGACCTTAAATTTAAAATTCACTTTCAATTATCACTTTGGTGAATAAACTTGGAAACAACTTACTGTTGGCATAATAAATCCCCAAATCCCAGCCTTTGAGAACACTTGGTGATTTGTATCTGATTGTTGAAATGTGTCTGTCTACATGCATTATACTTTAGTGTTTAATTACCTATGTATTGAAGTAAAGCACTAGAATATTGATGTTCAAATCCAGTGAGTGCTTTGTTTATATCTAGAGAGAGACACAATTGTTTTCCAGTTACTTGCAGAAATTGGGTTCATTTTACTCAAAGTGATTATTCTACTTAATGTGTAAGTCATTTTACTATTCTGAAATACTTGAAGGAAATGGACCTTAAATGGACAGATATATGGACCTTAAATGGACAGATATGTGGACCTTGAATGGTCAGATATGTGGACCTTGAATGGTCAGATAAATGGACCTTGAATGGTCAGATGAATGGACCTTAAATGGACAGATAAATGGACCTTTAAGACTTTCACAGCTATACAATCAAGCAATATTGTTTATTTAAAATATTCCGTAGCGATTCAGTCTAGAAACTACAACATTTTTGGAGATTCTGTATGAATAGCTAAATTGTGCAAAGC